TCCTTGGGCTGGTCATGTCCTAGGAGAGGGGAAAGAGCTTTTTTTTTTTTTTTAAGTTTTTTTTTTTTTAAATACTTTATTATGTATTCATGAGAATACACAGAGAGGAGAGAGAGAGAAGCAGAGACACAGGCAGAGGGAGAAGCAGGCTCCATGCAGGGAGCCTGATGTGGGACTCGATCCTGGGTCTCCAGGATCACACCCTGGGCTGCAGGCAGCACTAAACCGCTGAGCCACCGGGGCTGCCGGGGAAAGAGCTTTAAATTAGATATGATTGACATTTTAAATTGGATTAAATTGGCTTAAAGTGGACTTTTTTTTTGAATACTTGAAAATTATTGGAAAGCTAAAGAAACTGGTTGACATATTCAGAGATAGGAAGGAGATATTCTGGATGGCAAATTGAAAGCAATGATTAGAGAAAAATTGTTTTAATTCCTCACCAAGTAATACTGGGAAATGTTTTTTGATTAACTTTAATGATAATAATGGAGAAGAGAGAATTGACATGAAATTCATTGCCTGTAAAAGTAGTTAGCCGTTTGGATGATGTATGTGAAAGCTTGATTCTTCAAGTGGTATAGGTACGGATTCTCTGAACTCTGGGAGAATGGATGAACTTTTCCCTTCTTTTTTTCTTTAAAAAAAGAAAAAAAAACTTTTGGTTGGGGAATGAGAAGATTTGGGTCAAAGGGTACAAACTTTGAGTTATAAGTTGAGTAAGTCCTGGGGATCTAATGTACACCATGATGATTATGGTTAATAATACTGTATTATATACTTGAAATTTGCTAAGATCTTAGATGTTTTCACCATACACAAAAAATGGTAACTACATGAAGTGATAGATGTGTCAGTTAACTTGATTGTGGTAACCATTTCACAGCATATACATATATTAAAGCATTACATTGTACGCCTTTAAAAAAATACATCACATGGTACAACCTAAATACATATTTTTGTCAACCATACCTCAGTAAAACTGGAAAAGAATGACTTTTTCCTCTTGATCATAACACTAATATATGCATATTGTAAAGAATTTTAAAAGTTCTGAAAAGTACAGATATAAACATCAATGCAGTCCTCCTCTCCCCCCCCCAAACCAGAGCAGCAGCCTTTGCGTATATTCTTGCAGGCTTCCTTGTGCCTTTTAAAATTACTTACTGCCTTTTCCCTTTTTCAAAGCTGATACCATACTCCTAAGATTTTTTGTGGCCTGCAGTTAAGAGGCTGCATAGAAAAGCAAAAATTGTGACATAAAAATATTCACTGATGAAGTGACCATCATTTTTTTTTTTTTAGAGAGAAGGGCAAACCAAGAACCAGAAACAGATTTTTTTTTTTTAAGATTTTATTGATTTATTCATGAGCGACACAGAGAGAGAGGCAGAGACACAGGCAGAGGGAGAAGCAAGCTCCATGCAGGAAGGGTCTCCAGGATCACGCCCTGGGCTGAAGGCGGCGCTAAACCTTCAGCCACCTGAGCCACCCAATCAACATTTCTGATTTCTCTTGTAAAGCTTTTATTTATCACCCACTTAACCACGGTTTCTGTCTCTATGCTTGGGGCTATTATAATGCAGATGAATCAGGAAATTATTTCTTGAGGTCAGCTAAGGATACTGGAGACCTGTGTTCTCAGGACCAATCTGTCTAGGTTGGACCAGTTGAAAAACTGATGAAGAAAGAAATCAATAGAGATGACAAAAGGATAGCACTTTGTTTTATTTTATTTTTTAATATTTTATTTATTTGGGAGAACAGGGCAGGGAGGGGCAAAAGGATGGGGAGAGGCAGGCTTCTCACTGAGCAGGGAGCCTGATTTGGGGCTGGATCCCAGGACCTCAGGATCATGACCTGAGCTGATGCTTAGCCAACTGAGCCACCCAGCACCCTAAGGTTAGGCACTTTTAAAGAAGAATATTGGCCATGACATCATATTAATATAACCTTTGGGGAACATCAGTATATCTTCTGGGTAGTGTTGTCATTATGATGCCATGTAAGTAAGATGAAATGAAGGATGTGATGTTACTCATTCTTTGATGGATCCAATAATTAGTACATGGGTATGAAATTTGCCTAAATGTTGTTAAACTGCCAAAGTATGTTTTCTCTTAAATTTATAGGGTACTAAAAAAAAAATTATAGGGCACTTTTTCAGTAAAATTTCCTATGAGATTTCTTTTCCCATTATGAATATGAGTGAATACTTACTATGAATATGAATACATAATAGCCTTCTACTAGTACCATTTCTTGGTGATAATAGGGAACACCTATATTTAGGTTTTTCTAAATTCTCTAAACTGTATCTCCTCTAATAAATCCAGTAGTTCCCCTTATCCATGGTTTCACCTTCTGCGGTTTCAGTTACCCAAGATGAACCTCAGTCTGGAACCAGATGATCCTCTTTCTGACATGCTGTCAGAAGATCGGTGGTAGCCTAATGCTGCTGCTTGTGTCATTCACCTCCCTTATCACATAGATGTTTTATTATCACAAGAAGAGTGAGTATAGTTCAATAAGATATTTTGAGAGAGAGACCACATTCACATAACTTTTATTACAGTATAATGTTATAATTGTTCTACTTTATTATTGTTAACCTCTTACTCTGCTTAATTTATAAATTAAACTTTATCATAGGTGTGTATAGATAGGAAAAACAGTGTGCATAGGATTTGGTACTCTGCAACTTCAGGTATCCAATGAGGTTTTAGAACATCTCCCCTGCAGATAAGAGGGAACTACCATAGTAAATAACCACATTTTTTTCTAGTGAGTAAGCATATGCTAGAAAAGCTAATTTTATCTGAAATTAAGTACATACTTAAAAACATGTAACTATAGGTTATAATAAAAAAAGTCTTTAACTTTTTTTTTTTTTAAGATTTTATTTATTTGGGAGAGAGCACAAGCTAGAGGAGCAGCTAGAGCAGGGACAGGGGAAGAAGCAGGGAGCCCAATGTGAGGCTCAATGCAGGGCTTGATGTGGGGCTTGATCCCAGGACCAGAGATCATGACCTGCCTGAGCTGAGTGAGCTACCCAGGCACCCCTGGCTTTTTTTGGCTCTAAGTATCAGTCCAGTAGAAGGTACCACTTCTGTCTTTCCTGGAATTAATAACAGATTTCTCACATTATTTTCACTCTATTTTATATATTGATGACTAGTCATCATTAGACTGCTGTTTGCAAAAAATCTTTGCTAATCTATAGAAATGGATTTTTAGTTACATGTTTTTTTCGTTTAATTATCATAGTTGTCATTTTAAAAAGTAACCTGTAGGGTAGTTGTGCTGTAATTCCATTCTCCGAGAGTTTTCTTTTTACCATGCACATGAATCACCTGGAGAATAAAGTGCATGTGCCTGGTTCAATAGGCATGATGGGGCAAAATTACGCATTTGAAAACAGCTCACATATCAAGCCAGTGCTGCCAGCCTTCGCACCACATTTTGAACTATAGAGCTTTTGATACCAGTTTTGGGAACAAAAGCCAGTCAAAGCCTATTGAAGCCATTTCTTGTTATGATAACTTTATGACACATGCCTAGTTTATTAGTAATACATATTTTTGCATTGAGGATATATATGTTGAATTAAAACTTGCAGTGTGAGTTTTCTGTAGTTTTTGTGCTGGGCATTCTCTCTACAGTGGTGTGGCATTTCGAAAGAATGAACATATAATGATGACGATGATAATGTAATAACTGACAGGTACTGACTACTTATTAGGCTCCAGGCACTGTGCTTTATAAAGATTGGCCAAATTTTCTGAACAAAACCGTGAAGTAGACATTATTTTTTTTTACCCCATTTAAAAATGAGGAGGCTTAGTAACAAGTTAAATGATTTGCCCACATCACCCAGCCAGAGGGTAGACAGAGCCAGCATGTCAACACAAGTCCATCCGACTGTAGAGCTTGTAATTTTAATCTCTTTACTAGTCAAACAATAGTCTGGAAACTAGATTTCAGAAATTTTTTTTTTAATTTTTTTTTTAATTTTTATTTATTTATGATAGGCACACAGTGAGAGAGAGAGAGGCAGAGACACAGGCAGAGGGAGAAGCAGGCTCCATGCACCGGGAGCCTGACGTGGGATTCGATCCCGGGTCTCCAGGATCGCGCCCTGGGCCAAAGGCAGGCGCTAAACCGCTGCGCCACCCAGGGATCCCTGGAAACTAGATTTCATACTGGATTTTCTCACTTCTCTCACAATTCCTATAAGATATATTTAAATTTTCTAGCTTCTTTCCCCAAAGACTTTTTAAAGATCACTTGTCTTCCTTATGTTTTCCTTTCTTGTGTCTTTCCCAAGATACTAGTGATTCACGGCCAGCATTTTTTAGTCTTCCTTTTTTAGTATTAGTTAAGATCTCAACTTTCATATTCTTTTGATGTGAAAATTTATGAAGAATGAGAATTAGGTAGTACTCTGCCCTGAATGAAAGATGAAAGTGTTTTTAGTAATGTTGAGACTGTTTTTCTTTGAAAGACTAACCCTGGAAATGTTCAGATTTTATAAGATTGTCATAGAAGAATGGTTGATTCTATTGTGTGTGCTTAAAAATTGGGTTAATTTCTTTATCTACATCGCAATTATAATTTAATGATTAGTCTGAAGACATACTTTCCACTCTTGAGTTTTCCTGCCAAACCACCAAATGGTCTTTGAGAAGCCAAGGAGCCCCCTCTGCCTTGCCTTCTCAGCCTGTCAGATGTTGACGCTGCATGCTGTACCTTTATCCCTCAGCATGTGAAGGAGAAATGAACACAGGGAACGAGGATTTGTAAGCACAGAGGTGTCTGTATAAATTTATGTCAATGAGTGAAAGCTGTTTAGAATTAGATGTGGTATTTCTCTTGCAATTTCATTTGGAAATCAATTATCAAAAAACAGGTCATGGTCAATAAGAAGATAACTTATTACTCATCTCAGAGTAATGAGAGGCTATTTATTTTCATTATCCCTGTTTGTTTTTTTACAGTCCATCAATATTATGGAACTGACTTTACAGAAATATGGAAGTTATGAAAAATTTGAGCAGGCCACAGGTGGCAGCCTGCTATCTAAAACTCGTATCTGGAGTCATGTTCGGAAGTACATGATGAAAGAAGGCTGTCTGGGTGAGGTATGAATCGGGAGTGACACGAGATGGTATTGGCATTTTAACTGTTCATTAAATTAGTCACCCATTAAATCAAATTGTTATGTTCAGTTTGTGTTCTTCTTTACTTACTATTTCTGTATAGCTTGTGGGATTATGGGAATTATTTTATGAAAATTAATAATGAAGCAATTTGTCTCAGTGGCCGCCTTTTATAAGCAGCCAGTTCACAATGGCCAAGCAGTGAAGCGGACTGTGGCTTGTGTACCTTCCTTTTCATCATTTTAACCTGGCGGGGGTGGGGGCGGGGGACTGTATTTGAGAGCAGTGGCAGCACTGCCTGCTCAGCACAGCCCTCTACTTTCCTTCTATCCAGGAAGGGTTCTTGAGTTCCCCATGCTCAAAAGTGGAAGGGTCAAAAGTGATTGGCTCTTCATTCCATCTTCTAGAATTCTTGGAGAGTCAAATTGGTACAAGCAAAATAAAAACGTATTGATTTATGGGTCTGTTGTTTCCTGAGAAAGCTTCCTCTCCCCAGCCTTTACATTTTGTTGTATATACATAATATATATGTTTTTTTCCTCTTAACTCCTTAGATTGTAGTTCATCTCACTGAAGACCTGCTTTCCCGAGCTTCAATGACAGTGGTAAATGGGTGCCCGACACTGACCATCAATGTTTCCACTGCACGTGAGCACTGGCTGGAGGGAATGCTGAGGCATGAAATAGGTAGGGGCAGCCCTTCTCCATTTGTTCACTTGTAGTATCAGAAATGAGCTGCAAAGAAACATTCTTTTATAAGGTTTTTTTTTTTTCTTAGTGGTACTTGGCAAAAGGTAATAAAACTGTTAGGTTTCACTTGAACTGAGATATTAATGTCTCACTTCAAATGAGATTTTTTAGGATACTGTGTAACTGTATTAAGCTTGGAAAGTCCTTTAACTCCTGGATTTCAGTTCCCCCACATTTCTGAAACTGAGGGAAATGGAACTCAGTGCCCTCTGAGATTCTTTTCAATATCAAGTCTATGATTCTTCCCCTTAAAATAGATGCTATAAAAGTTGAACCTCTTCAAATAAGACGTGTGATCCTTCTGAAGGCAGAGTACCTCCTTTAGAAGGCTTTAGGGTCGGTCATTTTCCACTTTTTTTGATTCCTAGGTACACATTAATTTGGTTTTAGAATTGTTGGTAGAATCTTTTTTGGATAAGAATTAAAATGAAAATGTCATTTCCTGTTTTTTACGCACCTTTTCTTCTCCATAGGCACACATTATTTTCGGGGTATTAACAACCTTCAACAACCATGGAACAGTTGGACTGGCCGTAAAAAACATGAGCTAAAGCCAAACAATCCCACAGAGGAAGGACTGGCAAGTATTCACAGTGTCCTTTTTAGAAAAGACCCCTTTTTATGGAGGGCTGCCCTCCTCTACTATACTGTTTATCGAGCCAGCCAAATGTCTTTTTGCGAACTCTTCAAAGATATTGGAAAATTTGTCAAGGACCCCAATACGAGATGGGATTATTGTGTACGGGCCAAGAGGGGATGGACTGATACTTCTCAGCCAGGTGGGTGTCTCTTGACTACAGATTTGCTGACGTATGGTTAGTTGTCTGTTGATTTTGATTGCATATTTATCCACTGATCAGAGAAACCATTCACTTATGAAAAAAGTAAACCTTTGTTACTTGAGGTCAGTGCTAATTTTCCCAAACCACATTTTGTTAGCATTCTTTTTCAGGTCTCATTTTGAAAAATTTCAGACCTACAGAAGAATGGAAATGATAGAAATAACACTCATAATACCCATTCTCTAGATTCACCAATTGTTAACATTTTGCCACTTCTGCTTTTTCTTGCTCTGATTTTAAAAACAGCTTTGCTGAGATATAATTCACATGACATACAGTTTGCCCATTAAAATGTACAGTCCACGGGTTTTTAGAATATTCATGCAATTGTGCAGCTATCACCACTATCTAATTCTAGAACATTTTCATAACCCCAAAAAGAAACCTGTACCCATTAACAGCCATTCTCCATTTCTTCTTTACCAAGCTCCCAGCTCTAAGTAACCATTAATCTACTTTTATAGATTTGCCCCTATTGGACATTTCATACAGATGGGATCATATAATATATAATCCTTTGTGTCTGGCTTCTTTCACTGATCATAATGTTTTTAAGGTTCATCCCTATGGTGGCATATATCAGTATTCAGTCCTTTTTACTGCTGAATAATATTCTATTGCATATATAGAACACATTTAATTTTTTTACTCACCATTAATGGACATTTAAGTTGTTTTCACACTCTTTAGCTATTATAGTGTCACCATGAACATTTGGGTAAAAGTTTATGTTTTTAATTCTCTTGGGTATATACGTAGGAGTAGAATTGTTTGGCATATGAGAACTCTCTGTTTAACCTTTTGAGGAACTGCCAGAATGTTCTCCAAAGTGAATGCAACATTTTTTATTCCCACCAGCAGTATATGGGGTTCTAAGTTTTCCACATCCTCACCAACGCTTACCAATACTTATATTTTCATTTTTTGAGTTATTATAATGGTCCTAATGGGTATCTCATTGTGATTTCTTGCTTTAATTTTTTAATTGTTTAAAAATTCCAGTGTGATTAATAACACCGGTACAGTGTTCTATTAATTTCAGGGGTACAATATAGTGGTTGTGCTTATCATGATAAGTGTACTCAGAATCCCCTTCACCTATTTCACCAAAACCCCCACCCACCTCCCTCCTGGTACCCATCACTTCGTTCTTTATATTTAAGAGTCTGGTTTTTTATGTTTTTCTTTCTTTGTTTTGTTTCTTAAATTCTATATATAAGTGAAACTCTATGGTACTTCTCTTTCTCTTATTTTACTTAGCATTATACACTCTAGATCCATCCATGTTGTTTCAAATGGCAAGATTTCATTCTTTTTTTTTTTAAGATTTTATTTATTTATTCATGAGAGAGAGAGAGAGGCAGAGACACAGGCAGAGGGAGAAGCAGGCTCCATGCAGGGAGCCCGATGTGGGACTTGATCCCAGGTCTCCAGGATCACGCCCTGAGCTGAAGGCAGGCGCTAAATCACTGAGCCACCCAGGGATCCCAAGATTTCATTCTTTATTATGATTAATAATCCAGTATATGTGTGTGTCTGTGTGTGTGTGCGCGTGCGTGCATGTCTGTGTGTATATACATATGTATGTATATAAAAACACATACATAAACACACACCACATCTTCTTTATCCATTCATCTATTAGTATACAGGTTGCTTCCATAATCTGGCTATTGTAAATAATGCTTCAGTAAACATAGGGGTACATATATCTTAAAATTTGTGTTTTTGTATTCTTTGGGTAAATACCCACTAATGCGATTACAGTATTACATGGTAATTCTGATTTTTTGAAGAACATCATACTGCCTTACACTGTAACTGCATCAGTTTGCATTCCCACCAACAGTGCATCAGGGTTCCTTTTCCTCTGCATTCTCACCTTGTTTCTTGTGTTTTTGGTTTTGGCCATTTTGACAGGTGTGAGGCGATATCTTGTGGTTTTGATTTGCCTTTCCCTAAAGATGAATGATGTCAGGTATCTTTTCATGTGTCTGTTGGCCATTTGTAGGTTGTCTTTTTTTAAAAATTTATTTAAATTCAATTTAACATGTAGTGTATTATTTTTAGAGTTAGAATTTAGTGATTTATCAGTTGCATATAATACCCAGTGCTCATTATATCAAGTGTCCTCCTTAATGCCCATCTCACCCAGTTACCCCATTTCCCCACTGCCTCCCCTCTAGCATGTGTGTCTTTATTTTTTTTTAAAAAAGATTTTATTTATTTATTCATGAGACACAGAGGTAGAGACATAACAGAGGGAGAAGCAGGCTCCCTGGGAGGAGCCTGATGGGGGACCCTGTGATCATGCCCTGAGCCGAAGGCAGACCGCTTCGGTGGTTCAACTGCTGAACCACCCAGGCGTCCCCTTTTTTAGAAAAATGTCTGTTCGTGTCGTCTGCCCACTTTTAATTGGATTATTTTTAATTGGGTTATTTAGTGCCAATAGTTTATTTTTGCTTTTGCTTCCCCCTTGCCTCAGGAGACCTATCTAGAAAAATGTTGCTGTGGCCAGTGTCAAATTATTGCCTCATTCTCTTCTATGATTTTTTGTAGTTTCAGGTCTCACATTTAGGTACTTAATTCATTTTGAGGTTATTTTTATGTTTAGAGTAAGAAGTGGTCCTGTTTTCCCAACATCATTTGTTGAAGATACTTTTTCCTGTTACATATTCTTGCCTCCTTTGTCAAAGATTAATTGACCATATTATCATGGGTTTATTTCTGGGCTATTCTGTTCCAGTGATCTATGTGTCTGTTTTTGTGCCAGTACCATACTATTTTGATTACTAGAGCTTGGTATTGTTCTGGTTCTGTGAAAAATGCTATTGATATTTTGATAGGGATTGCCAAGTAGTATGGACATTTTAATATTATTCTACAAATCCGCAACCATGGAATATCTTTTTCTATTTGTGTCATCTTCAGTTTCTTTCATCAGTGTTTTATAATTTTCAGAGTACAGGTCTTTCACCTCTTTGGTTAAGTTTATTCCTAGGTATTTTATTATCTTTGGTGCAATTGTAAATGGGATTTTCTTTCTTAATTTCTCTTTCTGCTGCTTTGTTATTTGTGTGTAGAATTTTTGTATATTGATTTTGTATCCTACAACCTTACTGAATTCATCTATTAGTTCTAGGAGACTTGGTGGAGTCTCTATGTTATATTAAGTTGATGGTCACTTACGTTTGAACCCATATAAAAAGCATTAAATTTGTACTTCTCACCACTTGTTAGGTATGTGGAGTCATACTTCACATCCCTTTATTTTATGAATCCTTTGATTTTTATAGATTTGCTTAATTTTACTGCTTTTGTGCTTCCTACTTTTCTTACTCATGCTTATGGTCTTTCCTTTCTGCTCAGAGAGTCACCTTTAATATTTCTTGTAAGGCTGGTTTAGTGTCATGAATTCCCTTAATTTTAATTGTCTCAGAAACTCTCTCTCCTTCTATTCTGAATGATGGCGTTGCTGGATTGAGTATTCTTGTTTGCAAGTTTTTTCCCCAGCACTTTGAATATATATCATGCCACTCTCTTCTTGCCTGCAAAGTTTTTGCTAAAAAAAATCAGCAGATAGTCTGATAGTTTTATGGGGTTCCCTTGTATGTAACTGCTTTCCTTTCCCTTGCTGGTTTTAAAATTCTCTCTTAAAAAAAAATAAAATTTTCGCTTGTTCTCAACTTCTTGACATTGTAATTACTGTGTGTCTTGGTGTGGACCTCCTTGGGTTGATTTTATCAGGGGCCACTTGTACCTCCTGGATCTGGATTTCTGTTTCCTTCTGCAGATTAGGGAGGTTTTCAGCTATTATTTCTTCAGCTTTTCTGCCCTCTTCTCTGGTTTCGCCTTCTTAGGATCCTTTTAATGAGAAGATTATTATGCATAAAGTGTTGCTGAGTTCCTTTAATCTAGTTTCATTTTTTATTATTCATTTTCCTTTCTTCTATTCAGCTTCTTGCTTTCCATTACTCTCTTCTCCAGTCACTGATCCATTCTTCTGCTTCTCTAGTCTATTTATTCTGTCTACTGTATTTTTCTTATCAGTTATTGAGTTCTTCATCTCTGATTGGTTCTTTATGTTTTCTTTTTGTTGAGGGTCTCACTGAGATACTCCATTCTCAAGTCTGTGAATATCTCTACGACATTTAAATTCTCTGTCAGGGGGATCCCTGGGTGGCTCAGCAGTTTAGTGCCTGCCTTTGGCCCAGGGCATGATCCTGGAGTCCCGGGATCGAGTCCCACATCGGGCTCTCTGCATGGAGCCTGCTTCTCCCTCTGCCTGTGTTTCTGCCTCTCTGTATCTCTGTGTATCTCTTATGAATAAATAAATAGAATCTTAAAAAAAATAGATTCTCTGTCAGGCATATTGCATAAACAGTTTTGTTTAGCTCTTTTGCTATAACTTTGTCCTGTTCTTTTATTGGGGAAATATTCCTCCATCTTCTCATTTTTTCTGACTCTCTGTAGTCTGTGTTTGGAAAGTCAGCTACATCTGTCTCCTGCACTTGAGAGTAGTGGCCTGGTGAAAAAGAGATTCTATAGTGCTGTGTAGTTGGGGCAGGGCACATGATGCTAGGAAGATCCACAGTGGTCTGCTGGAGGGGACATATATGGCTGTCTGGAAAAACTTCTGTGGAGGCCAGGTTGGAGGGGATGGGGCAACAGAAGATTGCAGGGGTAGGTCTGCTGTGTGATGTATCTAGGCTGGGGCGGGAAGAGGAACAGCACCTAACACTCTTTTTCTTAGAGCAGTCTCCTAAAGATCCCTACCCCTCCAGCCCATATTCTGAGATTAGTAAATATATCTCCTTCCCATATCCCCTAACTAATGCTATTTGTATACTGTATCTCTTTGGGGCTGGTTGTTATGCTGACTCTTTACGGGCGGGGACTCAGTTTTCTGTTGCCCTCTGGGTCTCCCAAAGTTGAGCTTGGTGATTTTTAAACTTCTGTGTTAAGTCCCACTTACTATCAGAACTCATGAAGTTGTTAGGCCCTCTGGCTTTCAAAGCCAAATATTATAGGGATTTGTCTTTGCAGTATGGGTCCCTTATGTTGGGGTTTCTGGTATGGGGTCTGCTCCTTTTCCTTCTCTGTGCTTGCAGTGTCCCTCTCTCCCTTCGCCATGCTTACTGTGTCCTAAGAATAGTCTCCTGGGTCAGTTTGGTGTCTAACCACATCTCTGCTCTTTTTACCCTTTACAGTGTGGCCTCTTCTCTTCATTTGGCTGTGGAGAGTCTGTTCTGCTAGTCTGTTGGTTGTTTTCTGGGTTATTTACACTGATGTGGGTATTAATAACACAAATTGAGCTTAGGATCCTCTTTCTCAACCATTTTCCCTGTAAGTCCGGTCTCATTGGAGTTTTGATTTGCATTTCCCTGATGACTTAATGATGTTGAGCATCTTGTGCTTTTCATAGTCCTTTGCATATTTTCTGTGGAGAACTGTTTAGATCCTTTTTCCTTTTCTATGTTATTTTTTTTTGTTAAGTTATACGAGTTCTTTGTATATTCTAATTACAAATCTGAGATGAGATTTACAAATATTTTCTCCCATTCTGTGGGTTGTCTTTTTTACTTTCTTGATAATATTCTGTGACTTTTTAAAAGTAAACTGTACACTTGATATTTTATTCAACACTTGAGCATGCATGTCCTGAGAAGACATTCTAACACAATATCATTGTCATACTTAAGAAAGTGAGCACTAATTCAGCAACAACTAATACAAAATATTTGGGTTTCCCAACTATTTAAAAAAAAATATATGCTTGGGGATCCCTGGGTGGCTCAGCAGTTTGGTGTCTGTCTTTGGCTCAGTGCATGATCCTGGAGTCCCAGGATCGAGTCCCGCGTCGTGCTTCCTTCATGGAGCCTGCTTCTCCTCTGTGTGTCTGCCTCTCTATCTGTGTCTCTCATGAATAAATAAAATCTTTAAAAAAATAAATAAAAAGATGCTTGATAGCTATTTTTTAAAAAATCTAGATCTAGGGGTGCCTGGGTGGCTCAGTCAAGTAAGCCTCTGCCTTTGGCTCAGGTCATGATCTTGGGGTCCTGAGATCAAGCACCTTATTGGGCTTCCTGATAAGGAGGGAGTCTGCTTCTCCCTCGACCTCTCTTCCCCACCCTCCCCACTTGTACCCTCTGCTCTCATGCTCTTTCAAATAAATAACATATTTAATAAAAAAATAAAAATGTAGATCCAGTCAGGACCCTTGGATTATTTTTGGTGGCTGTGCCTCTTCAGCTTCTTTAATATGGAAATATGGAACAGTGTGTTCAACTTTTTTTCTCTTTCATGATACTTTTATGTAGAGTCCAGGCTGTTCTTAGAGAATGGCCACAATCTGATGAGATAATCATGATTAAATTCTGTATAAGTGTGTTGGTCAAGAATACTAACTAAATGATATTAGATCACACAGCAGAACGACAATGACCATTATCATCGTCTTGCCGTTCATTACAGATGCTAACTTTGATCCTTGTTTCAGATGGGGATTCCAAGTCTGTTCTTTTCTAAAAATACATTTTCCTTTTTAATTAATCTGTGAGGTGATAGATATTGTGTGACTATCCTATTTCTTAACAGCATTTCATCTCATGGTTTTAGCATCCATCAATGATCTTTGCTTGTCAGTTTCACTGGAGATTTCTAGCATTTTTATTATTTTTATTAAAGAATATAAAGGCAAGGAGTATAGTCACAGTGCGTATTGATCTTCACAAACAGTTCTCGTTCTAAGTAAGTATGTGCTACTCTAATGGAAAGTTTAAAAGTTTTTGTCAGCTTCAAGACTTCAAATTGCCCACAGAAATTTTGGTGTATTTTTAATAAAATAATAAGTATAAGTAGATTATAAGGCAATACAAAAATGCTTTTGAGAAAAGGACAGGAATTAGGAAATGTTCATTTAAAAGTCATTTTAAGATTACATCAGCAACTTTTCTTCTAAAAGTATTTAAAACTATTTGAAGCTTTGAAATACCCCCAGTCTGTGGTGTTGCCAGCCCAGTCCACATTAAGAACTAACTACCTGTGATGTAGTTGTTTGAAAGTGTGATGTCCAAGAGCCAGGACCAGGCAAGATCGGAACCAGAGAAGAGGAAGACTGTCCTCTGCCTTTCATGTATGCAAAGCCACTCTAGGCTCAGTTTCATATCAAAAGTGTGTTTGTCATTTCCCATCTCCTTTACAGATCAGCTTGTCTGTATTTTAGTGCTCTATACTCAGAGGCACAGAGCTTTCATATTGCATGTCATGTTAGTCTGTTTTTTTTCTTCACATTTAAAAAAAATTTATTGAGAGAGAAAGAGAGTGCAAGTGAGCAAGCAGGGGAGAGGGGTTTGAGGGAGAATCTCCAGCAGACTCCCCACAGAGCACAACCAGGGACTCAGTCCCACAACCCTGAAATAATGACCTGAACCAGAATCAAAAGCTGGATGCTCAACTGACTGAGTCATCCAGGTGCCCCCACATAACGTTTTTAAAGAAAACTTTATTTTTAACTTAAAAAAATGATAAATATGATGTGCCCTTATTAAGCATCACTTAATCTTAGTAATTATCAACATTTCCTACCTGTGGTTCATCTATTCTTCAAAGTTCTGTTTTCCTGTAGTATTTTAAAGTCAATTCCAGACATAATGTCCTTTTACCTGTAAGTACTTCAATATGTATCTAACTGATAAGGACAGTTTTATTCCCCCTGAAAAGTAGGAATAGCTCATGAGATCTGAGCCTGGTTTTAAAAGTGTCCCACTTTTTCTCCATAATTCCCATGCTATTAGCATACCTAAAAGTTATTAATTTCTTAATGTATGACATAATTTGATAGAACTTTAGTCCATTTAATAGAGAATTTTAGAATAAATTTATACAAGTTATGTCAAGATGGCAGAAAAGTTTTCTTTGTAAGTGGAATACTCTTGTAACTAGGCTCAGATCTCATGAGTTTTTGTTTTCTTCTTCCATATTTTCTTCTATTTTTAAACCTCCATATTAAAATTCGGTTCTAATCATTGTTTCATATGGAAGAAGAGTATCAGTATCATCTATAGCTATTTATAATGGGGTAAGGGGTAGTATTTTTAAAACCCAGAAGTTTTTTGAGATCCCATATTTCCACATTGCCCCCTGTGAAACTTACTACTCTATAGCCATCCACCCTGCTGCTCCAAGTGCCTCCATGCACATGGGCGTTCAGGTTATGATCAAATGGTGGGAGTGCAGATGACATATTTATAAGAGTCACAGATTTTTAATTATTGTTTCTTTATAATTAGAAAAAAATGCTCTTTAATTATGGGAATGGGGATCTGGGAAGAAGAAACTCTTAAAGGGAAGGTAACAATCTGCACATTATCCTGGTACTTCTAAGACCTTGCATTTTATGTTATGAAGATGGTTAATTCTAATTTGCCATGTTTATTTTTATTTAGGACTGATGACTACAGTAAAGGGAATGCATTAGTATCTAATTACTTAGTGATTTTTTTAGATATCAGAAAATAAAAGCTATTGTATTCCTCCAGGGTGCTTCAGTAAAGATCAGGTATACTTGGATGGTATCCTGCAAATCCTCCGATACAGAGAGACCATTGACTTTCATCTACTGACTGCTCTGGGGAAGGTGAGTGAAACCAATGGCATGTAGCCTCCAACATACCAGGTCATCATTCCTCAGGCTCAATTTAATGATTAAATAGGGTTCAGATTCAAATTGTTGGTATACTATGTGTGTTGGGGTAAGTTTCCTTTATGTGGTAACTGGAGGGAAGAAATAATGGTTGTCACAAAACCAAACTGCAAAATTTCTTTGAAGGGAATAGGAAATTTGGCAATGTATTATATGGTTTTATTTTATTTATTTTTTGGTTTTATTATTTTTTTAATAAATTAATTTTTATTGGTGTTCAATTTACCAACATACAGAAAAACAATCCTCTGAAACTGTATCAGGAAGAAGTATTTTATTTTTGGAGATTTTATTTGCTTAAGAGTGAGAGAGCAGAAGCCAGTGAGGAGAGGGAGAGGGAAAAGCAGACTGAGTAGGGAGCCCATTGCAGAGCTCAATCCCAAGATCCCGGGATCATGACCTGAGCTGAAGGCAGAGGCTCAACCACTGAGCCACCTAGGCTCCCCGAAGTAGAGAATTTTAACAGACTGGTTACTAGTAATGAAACTGAATCAGTGATAAATGAATTCCTAACAAACAAAACTCCCAACACCTAGGGCCACATAGCTCCATGGAGGAATTCTACCAAATACAAATAAATATAACTGTCAAACTCTCCAAAAAATAGAAGAGGAAGGAAAATTTCCAAATTCATTCTACAAGGCCAGCATTATCCTGATACTAAAACCAAAGTCACTACAAAAAAAGACTACAGGTCAGTATTTCTGATAACATAGATGTAGAAATCTTACAATCATTCACCATGATGAGGTGGGATTATTCTTGGGATGTAAGGGTGGTTCAGTATTCACAAATCATTCATGCTACATCGCATCAATAAGAATAAAAATATTTCAGTAGATAAGGAAAAAGCAAAGTATAACATCCATTCATGATAAAAACTCTTGACAAAGCAGGCTTAAAGGGAGCTCAACATAATAAAGGCTATAAATTAAAACCCTCACAGCCAACATGATAACCAACAATGAAAAATTGAAAGTTTTCCATATACCCTAAGATCAGGATGTCCATTCTTACCCTTTGTATTCAGCATAGTATTAGGAATTCTAGCTGCAGAAGTCAGACAAGAAAAACAAAAGGCATCTACATTAGTAAGAAAGAAGTTTTAAAACCATCAGTATTTACAGATGGCATGATACTATATACAGAAAACCCTAAGGACTGTACCAAAAAACTATTAGAATAAATGAACTCAGTATAAATTACAGGATACAAAGTTAATATACAGAAATCTGTTGCATTTCTGTACAATAACAAAGCAGAAAGAGAAACTAAGAAAACGGTCTCATTTATCATGCCAAAAAGGATAAAATACCTAGAAATAAGTTAACCAATTTATTTCATTCATGAAAGAAATGGATTGAAGAATTAATTTTGTTAAAATGTCCATACTACCCAAAGCAATCTACAGCTTTAGTCAATCCCAGTCAAAATACCAGTAGCATTTTTCACAGAACTATAATAAATAATTCTAAAATTCGTATGGACCACTAACAACCTCAAATACCAAAGCCTTCTTAATGAAGAAGCAAGCTAGAAGTATAGTAGCCTCAGATTTCAAGATATATTATAAAACTATAGTAATTGAAACAGTATGGAATTGATACAAAAATAGATACATAGATCAATGGAACGGGATAGCCTAGATCATTTAATCTGGAACAGAAGCAGAGTATACAGTGGGGAAAAAACATTTCCCTCAATAAATGGTGCTGGGAAAACTGGACAGCTTTATGCAAAATAATGAACGTGGACCACCCTCTTACACCATAAAAATAAACTCAAAATGGATTACACACCAAAAACCTAAAAGGAAACACACAGTTATGTCTTGGACATATTTATGGCTATGTTTCCTCAGTCAAGGAAGGAAGAAAAAAAATTACTAAACCACACCAGTATCAACAACAAACCTATTTTCATTACGTGTTAGTAGTATAAATACTCAAGAAGCACTTGGGAGGCTCAGTTGATTAAGCATCTGCCTTCAGCTAAGTCATGGTCTTGGGGTCCTGGAATCAAGCCACATGTCCCACTCCCTGCTCAGCGGGGAGTCTGCTTCTCCCTCTCTCCCCACTGCTTGTGTTCTCTCTCTCAAATAGATATATCTTTTAAAAAAAACTTAATAAAGTATAAGTGAACATGATTTCTTTATTTAAAGCCATTCTACTGAATTAGGAAGAGTGTTGATCAGAAAACAGTAATTTTTAAATCTAGCCATGTTTTGGAGTTTAAAGTTGCAATGCTAACATATAGAACTTAAAAACTTTCATATATAAACTCTAAATACCTGTGAAAGACTGGCTTCTTATATAAGGAAATGAAAAAGATCTGAAATTTTATAAAATACTTGCTTACAAAATTCAAAATAAAAGAATTTAACATAAAACAATTTTATTTCTGAAATTAAATAGAAATGAAATTTGATATATAATTGTGCTGAATTTCCAAATTCAGTAATAAGGCACTTATATTCTGGCTAGTTCCTGGGTTCTTTCATTAAAATTTAGTCAGAACATTTGTTTAGGTTTGGAGTCTCTCACATATGTATGAAGTTTAGTTGTGTAATTTCTAGACAAACTGAGCATAGGTCCAAGATAGAGTGTTAAATACTGACTTGATTTTTTTTATATGGTCATGGTATGAGCAGGCAGATAAATAAATTTTCTTTTTTAGTTGCGGCAGGGAGGACAGTGGAAGTGGGGGGAGAGAATTTCGAGCAGGCTCTATGCTCAGTGTGTGAGCCCATTTGCAGGGCTTGGTGTTACAACTCTGAGATCATGACCTGAGCCGAAATCTAGAGTCGAGCACTTAACCTACTGAGCCACCCAGGTGCCCCAGTACAGTCTTATTTAATACAGTAAAGGAAAGGAAGCCACTGATTTTTGTTATTTTGTAGATATTAAAAATAATTTGAAAAAGATTCCTCATAAAGTTTTTAAGACTTAGGCAAGAAGTTACTTACAATTAAAAATTAACCCCTCTTCCTTTTTTCAGGTCTCTTATGAAGATGTGGATCGCCTAAAAGGATTGGCAGTTATTGAAAACATGAGGGTCCCTCATTTCCTGCAGGATCATGACCGATACATGGAGCATTTAGAGAAAATCATGGAAGTGAATGAACTGACTGACAGGGAACTGAAAGATCTTATATATTAATCAGCATTCTTGCAGACATAGCTAAGCTATACCTCTATGTAAATTACCCGTTAGGTGCAGTTAGCACCAGTATATTTATAAAAGAAGAATGACTGTTTACATGAGTTTTCTGAAAATTGATCTGCAGTATTCAGCTGAATTTTTTAAAGGTTAAGTACAAACTTTAAACTGCTTCCCTAACATGTTTCTGTAGGCTGCAGCGGAAAAGTTCCTCCCATTTTTCTCTGAATCTTGAGTCCTAAAAAATACTACTGGTGAGTGTTTTTGAAGAAGCTTGGTCAAATTGAGTGATAGGCTGCCTGGGCAGTAAGCACAGCTCCTTAGTGCTTCTGCCTGAGTGCCAAGACCAGCCCTGACTAAAGAGTGAATTCCATTGTTGTTTGAACTCCCAAGATTGTATTGTATTTGAAAAATAATGGTAATACTCCTTTGAAAAATTAGTTTTGTCATTCTCCCCAAAGCTAGCTATATCTAAGATTTCTTATTTCTCTCATATGTTAAGTAATGTTAGAGGGGAAAAGTAGTTTTGAAAAGTTTTCATTAGTTATTTTCCACATTGTTTCACCTTATCAGTTTATAGGAACTAAATTAGAGAATTACCTCATTTTGTCCAGTTATTTTTCAACTAAACTTTATTTGCTGAAACATGTTATCCCTTCACGATTTTAACTAAGTTTTAGAGTCTTTCCCTCCCCATTCCTTTATATAAATGGTAAGTAAAAGTTCCAGAGAGGTTTGTCTACATAGATTAAAATAGCTGGGGAAGAGAGAAGCTCCTCACCTTTTTATTCAGTGGAGCGACTAGCAAGACACAGTAGACGAATACAGTTCCTGTAGGCACTTGATACTGACTAGGTCATGTCTGCCATAAAATTGACCATCTGAAAAATGGAATTCCTGGACATTGCTATTTGGTAAACTGGGCTTGTCATGTTGGCTAAGTATATTTTATCAAAATCTTTGACTTCATCAACCCAATAATGACATAGTTTGAATCTCAAAAATGAGAGTTCTGTTTTGCTACATCTCCTCTGCTAAAAGTGTATACACTTAGCTTTGTATTTATCAATTTCAGTGTATAGTTGGATATGTATATATACTTGAGATCAAATGGTTCTTCAAACAATTTAATGGTCAGGAAGAGCACTGCTGTAAACATCCCATTCAAAATTGCTACTGTAATTTTTACCCAAAGCTATCTGAGAGTTGATCTTTACCTCATTTCAGGTTTAAATATGGTGCTAACACTGGTGAATATATACTGCAGACCTGGTCCACATTTGTGCTAGAAAATGATTTTAGGAAATCTTATTCAGGCTAGGTTACGTGAGTTTTCTCATTCACATATTTAGAAGGGCTTGCCTCAAAGAAGAATCTTGCAGCAAACAGGATATATTCTAACTGGCACCTAGTGGTTCTTCCAAAGCCACACATCTCACCTTTGGTAAGCAGCAGGCCAGGCCCTTTGGAGCATCAAAGGCACCCACCATGTGCTATGATAGCTGGAGTGTGGCTTGTAGATCTCTGCAGGGTTGGGGTACATTGTGCCAACACTAACCAGATACTGGAAAACCACTCTTGAACCTTCAAGCATATTTCCTTGTAGCAGAGTCATCCAGTTTCAGCTTTGGTGTAGCATTTTCTAATTCATCTTCAAACTTATCAAAGATAAAACACGGTGAAAACCAGGTTTTATTAACAGGAATAGAAGTATAGACAGAAATGGCAATATTTATGTCCTGTGATTTAAGCCTAAATGCTTATAAACTCAACATTTGCAGGCAATAATACTGCTAATCTTATGTTACAGTTTAAATGTAAAGGAAAATCACAGTAGCCTTAATATCCTGTTGGTAGGATTATATACAGTGATTCTAGTCTCTGAATTTTAAAATGTGTATTCTCTATGTGATTTGGAAAAGGAAACACTTTCTTGCCTTACTGCTTTTGGTATAGAGACAAAAAACAATACTATCCGAACCAAAAAAAAAAAAAAAAAAAAAAAAAAAAAACTTTAAATCACATTGATTGTCTTAAGATATTTTAAAAGTTAGCAATGAACCAAAAATAGTTTCAGATTAGCAGAATAATTAAAGATTTCTAAGCTTTGAAAGTTGGGATTGAAGATTTAATTAATGTTTATTCTTTCCTGAAATAGCATTAAGGTCAGTTTTGTTCCCTTGAAACTGAAGTTTTAATAAATATAAAACTATAGCAACAGTACTTAGGAGAATAGTTGAAGGTTGCATTAATTTTAATAGTTACTTGGTATAGGCTATTGATTAGGATTTCATCAGTCTTGTCCACTGTCATTCTAACGTATCAAATACAAATTCTGATAAACGGTTAGGTTTTCACATCAGATGGGACTCAAAGTAAAGTGTTTGTAGAAGTAAACCCATAAGTCTTCATTTCTTTATATTTTCACCTTTGTAAAAATGTTTAAAATTTGTATTGTGTTTTGTATATATCTGGACATTTTAGGTTAGGTTATAGGAGAAATAGCACTGAGGGTCTCAAATGAAATGTGTGAATATGTATGCATGCAAACTTCTGTTCTTTGAAAACTTAATTATATTTTTATTGTGGTATTTGTGTTTTTATTGTGTGGTAATTAGTGAAAAGTAGTTATTGATCATGTTTATCTTCTAATATCCCTAATACCTGTTTATAAGGAAATACTCCACCTTTCCCCTAATTAGGTTAGCTTATACTCTCATGGGTGTAGAAAGAAGGGAATAGGAGAAAGAGATAATTTTGTCTTAATTACTACCCTGTTCATTGAGTAAACTTCTATGCAGAACTTCCTAAGGAGTAGGATCTGTGCTGAGCCCTCTGATGAGGAAGACAAGAACTGTTGTTCATAGTCCAGTAAGGAAGAGTGGCACAGAATCACATTACAGCATGGCCATCTAATACCTAAAAAGTGCTACCAAAAGATCATAAACCATAATAAATAGGCCTGCTTGTGTGTCTGAAACAGAGAAGAATCACTTGCAAAGTGCTCCAAAGTCCTCCATATTTTGTTACCACTCTTTGCAAGGCTTGTGTTTGGAATCTAAGCAGCTTTAGCCCAGGAGGAGGAGTAAACCACATATACAGCTGCTTGGGTCACAGGCCTGGAGGAGATCCTTTTGGTCTTTGAATTTAAACCTTTACTTGTGAAATCTTGTCATCTGGCTTTGATTTCATCCATTTTTGTTCACTATGATTCTAGTAGCTAAAGGAATTAATGTCTTGAGACTGTTGTCAGGATGTGAAATACCAATGTTTGTCAGCTAGCTCTATAAGAGCTTTAAGAAGACATAGAATTTTGAGAACACAGGAGGACCATATGGAGTGGAAGCAAGAGGATGGCCATCTCAAGGAAAAGAGAAATGCCTGGAACAGACCCTTCCCTACGACCCTTAGGAGAAACCAGACCTGTCTTGAACCTCTAAAGAAATTGCACCTAGTGAAAGAGGACAAAGCAAAGAGAACAGAAGTTTGACCACTGAGAAGAGACGACTGAACATTGTACTTCCCAGCCATCCAGTTATCCTTATTATAAACAACCAGCTTCAAAATTGATGATAACATGGGTGAATAAGATGTCCCTTATCTGTGCCCCTTCCCCAACCTCCCAATAATAATTTGGCATCCGTCCATGAGCAAAAATGCTTTTGTGGGAGCTTTGGGATCCAGCAGCACATACCAAGTAAACCAGAAAGAATTTTGCCCACCCATGCATTGGGTAATAAACAGATGTAGGTCCTGGCTTGGACCCAGCAGTAGCATATGAACAAGCTTCAACCCCTCTCAGTAGTGGTCTGCAAACCTCTAGAAAACACTAAATCTTAGGCAGTCACCCATGGACAAGAGAGTCTTTTTATAAGTCCCAAGTTTCCAACAGAAAAGTTTCAATATACCATTGAAGCCAAAAAATATGTTTAGATGTATTGAAGAGGAATAGTTTAGCTTCACTCGTCCCCCAAGTTGGGACAACTCAGAGCCAAGAGAGGTCTCAGCCTGTGATTTCTCCTATGGCGGGGAGAAAGCAAGTGAGTGTCCAGCTTCCCTAGCTGTGCAGGATACTACCCTTTTCACTCTGGTCCCATCCAGAGTACTGAATCATGATCCGTGTGACTAGGTGGTGGGAATAAACTTGGAGAGTAACAGGACTTTTGGAGGTCACAGACACAGAATCCACTAACTGCTTTACAGCCTCCATTACGAAGCTGGCTCTGAGCTAAGGATGCCTTACCCATGGATCTCCCTGATTAGCCCATGACAGCCCCCCAGTGCTTCATGCATCTCACACACACATACCCTGTGGCTGGCTCTCTGTGTGTACTCCCAACAGCATTGACAGCATGCTTTGGCAGATGCTAGTGAGCATGTGTGAAAAGCCAGCCCAAATTCATGGGCCAGAGAGGTCACTAGAGCTTTAGCCCTGCCCTTGGAAAAGCAAAAGGAAGACTGTCAGCACTGAGCTTTGTCCATTGCAAAATTGAGAAGGCATATAAACTTAAGAATTTTGCCACAAAAGAAGCATGGAGGAGGCATATCCATAGATAGTCTGAGAGTCACAAATTCTTTACCAGAGCTGACCAAAGGTATTTCTTTAAGATTTTCATTTATTTATTTTTAGCGCTCATGAGTGGGGTGGTGAGGCAGAGAGATCCATAAGCAGACTCCCTGCTAAGCACTGAACCCACGTGGTGCTTAATCCCAGGACCCTGAGATCATGACCTGAGCTGAAATTAAGAGTCAGACACTTCACTGACTGAGCCACCCACACACTCCCAAAGGTATTTCTTGAAAATAGTAAAGGCTAGGAGGTAACTACTTCAAATACAAAAAATAATGCAAAACTCTAAGGAACATGAGAACTCAAGGAAACAGGACACCACCAAAAGATTATGATAATCTTCCAGTAACCAAAACCAAAGACATGGAGATCTGTTTATCTGACAAGAAATTCAAAATACCCGTTTTAAGGAAACTCAGTGAAGTACAAGAATACACAGAAAATTAAGTGAAATCAGGAAAACAATACATGAACAAAAAGTTTAACAGAGATGGAAATCATAAAGGACAAAGCATACTCTGGAGTAGAAAAATATAGTGAATGAAATGAAAAATACAGTACACCAACACCAAAGGATCAAGTTAAAAAAAAAATGAATCTAAGAAGATGGGAATCTTGAAATTATCCAGTCAGGGGATCAGGGGAGAACAAAGAAAAAAACGTGAAAGTGATGAAAACCTACATGTTCTATAGGATACCATCAAAAGAAACAATTTGCAAATTACTGGACTTGCAGAAGGAGAGAAGAGGGAGAAAGGAGCAAAAAAATTACTTTAAAAAATAAGGCTAAAAAATGTCTTAAAACTTCCCAAATCTGAGAAGAAATTTGGATATCCATGTTCATGAATTCATAGGTTACCAAACATTCAGAAACCTTCCTCAAGGCATATTATAATAAAACGACCAAAAATCAAAGAATCTTAAAAGCAGCGAGAGCAAAGAAGCTTATTACTTAAAAGGGAACCCCACACTGTTGTCAGATTTCTCAGCACAAACTTTACAGTCCAGGAGAGAATGGGATGATACATTCAAAGTGCTGAAAGGAAAAAACAACTGCTGAGTGTCAGCTGAGAAGATGGCTGAATAGGAGGGACCCAAAGCTCACCTTGCCCTATGGATACAACTAGCTAGCATTCATATCAGTGTGACTAACCCAGAAAAATCACCCCAAAACTGGCAGAACAAACTGTAACCAAAGACTGGGAAGGGACCACATCAAAGAAGAAGGGCAACAAGGTAGTCTGGGAGCCAAACAGATCATGACCATCCACTGTGGACAAGGAGCTAGTGACATGGAGAAGGGCAGAAAACAGACTTTCACTTTGGGGAGCCCACAAATGAGAATGAATCTCCATAATATATGCCTTTGAAAGTGAGAGGCGCCAAATTTTAGGAGTTCTTAAAACCAGTGACTTAAAGCCTGGAATTTAAAAAATCTTTGGGCTCAGCTCTGGGAGAGCCCTGGGGGCATCAGGAAGTTGAGTCCCTGCCCTTAGCTCAACAACAGATAGACAAATGCTGGGGGCTGACAGAAGAAAATTTGCTCATTTCAGAGCATGGCTGGACAGATAGGAATCACAGATTCCTCCAGGGACAAAGGAGCTGGCAAGTTCCATTTCCTTCCTCCACCTCCCAGCATAAACAATGGGCACCTGCAGGAACCAGTGTAGTGCCGACACTCATTAGCTAATTTGCTTGCACCAAGCCTCACTACCCCTGCTTCAGCAGATCTGTCCTTCCTACTGTAGCTTGTCTGATTCCCTGCACTGTAGATCCCCCAGAAGACCTGCACAAACTCTGCCAACACTACATCTCCAGACCTGCATGTCTTGTGGAACCTCAGCCCCGATAGTGGTGCAGCCAGGTCTCATTTTACAAGCAGAACACAGCATTAAAATGTTAAATATTAAAATATGCCCCACCCCTGCTGGTGACCAACTACTGCTTACAATAGGCAAAGATAGCCTCTGTAGACAACTGGACTGAAGGAAAAAGAAGCTAAGACTCAAACAGCAGAGTACATGCAACACACATGGGAGATATTCCCTCAAGCACCACACCCTGGGGAATGGGACATTGCACTGCAGGGCACTATAGGACCTGTTCTTAAAAAGGCTATTTTCACTAAAAGCAAGAGAGAAGTAGCTGACTCTCCTAACTCATAGACAAAATGGGGAGACCGAGAAACATCTCCCAAATGGAAGAACAGAACCAAACCACAGCAAGAGACCAAAGCAAAAGAGAGAACTTAATGATCATAAAAACAGTGGACTGGAGAAAAGAATGGAGGAAATCAGTGGGGCCCTTAACACAGAGATAAAAAAGAACCAATCAGAAATCAAGAACACAGTAAATGAGATTAAACTAGATGAAGCAGAGGAATGAATTAATGACCTGGAAGAGGGTGTAATGGAAAGTAACTAAGCTGAGCAAATGAGAGGAAAGAAAGGAGAGGAAAGAAAATTATGCAAACAGAATAGTCTTAGGGAACTGTGACTCCATCAACTATAAAAAATCACATTATAGGGATTTCAGAAGAAGAAAGAGATAAGGGACCAGAGAACACCCCCAATCTGGGGAAGGAAATAAATAACCAGATCCAGAAGGCAAGAGATTTCCCCAAAAATTCAACCCAAGGAGGTCCACACCAAAACAGGAATTAAAATGGCAAAAAGTGGTGATAAAAATTTTAAAAGCAATAAGGGGAAAAGACAGTTACATACAAGGGAGCCCTGATAAGACCATCAGCTGATTTTTCAGCAGGAACTTTGCAGGCCAGAGGGAAGTGGCATGATCTATTCAAAGTGCTGAATAGGAACAAAAATCTGCAGTCAAGAATACTTTATCCAGCAAGGCTATCATTCAGAATACAAAGAGCTAGTTTCTCAGATAAGCAAAAACTAAAGGAGTTCATGACCATTAAACCAGCCCTACAAAAAATATTAAAGAGGACTTTTTGAGTGGAAAGGAAGACCATAAGTTAGGGTATGAAAAGTAAAAAACACAAAAGTAGCAAAAATA